TTTAAAGCAGAGTAATTAAATGCAAGAAATATAATAATCACACCTTAAAATAGAGAAAATAACTTCTTCCATTTTAATGTAATTTACCAAATTATGGAAATTTTTATTCATTTATGGTGTCTTTTTAACCTCCCATTCTGTCATAATAAAGAAGATGAAAGCTAGATGCTAGTCCTTCTTTTAAAATAACCAATCCAGTGTTTTTAAGACCTTGATTGCAGGGAAAAAAATGATTCCAAATCTTTAGTTATCTTCAGATGGAATTATAAATGTTTCTTATCCATTACTAAAGTAACTTTAACCCCCCGAGTCCCACATTAGTTACTTAAAGGCCTGATGGTGCAAAAAGACCCCTACATCAGATGTGTTCTTTCTTCTGTATCCAATGCACTAAAAGAATCATAAGCTTTATATTCTTAAAATAGATAGTCACAAAATTCCATTTGGGAATTTTTTAGCAAATGTATTTGACTAACATATTGCTTCTGCAAAAACATTTGTTTGCCTATTGCCAGGGACAGTGTAAATATCCTAGGAGCATAATGGAGTAAAATCTCATTCCATCGGCAAGTTAGTGATAGAAAGGTAAGGGAGTTGTCATTTTATTCATAAAAATCTACAGAATAATAATTTCAATGGTGTCACCTTCTGTGGTGTGGCAGTGGGACTCACTGGCTCCCATCTCCAGGTCCTCCAGCTGGTGGAAAGTTTGAAAATACAGTGTCGTCAGAAATGGGTCAAGTTGGGTATCATTCAAAAGCCCTTTCTCCCTCAAACATAATGGTACCAAACGTGAAAAATGTAGAACAACTATGTAGATAAATATTTGAGAGAAATGTTTAAAAATCAACATTTTTTAAATTATACTTCAAACACAGATGCATTGTTTACATAAAAAAACCTCTTTGGTCTTTGGTAATCCTAGGGAAGTTTGCCTTGACATGTAGGACATTTATTCACCAAAGTCGTTATCAGAGTTGTCTCTGTCTAGGGCACCACTGCTAGATACATTGTCACACTGATTCTCGTGCTGCACTTGCACATCTCCATACAAGGCAGCCTGCTGGCCAAACATTTGCAGGCCGGTGAGCATCTTCTCTTTGCGCACAAGCATTTAATTAGCTGAAGGATTGGTTCGGGAATGTATGGCATTTCACACATAACTAGTGTGATCCACCCATCCTCCAACACCCATCCAGACCTGACAGGGGAGGGTAGTTTTGGATACACTGGATCATCCTGGGTCCATTCCATTGTTTGATCATTTGCCTTCTTGATAGCAGATAGAAATGCATACCTTGTCAGTAACAATTTTTCTTTGTTTGTCTGCTTCTTGGAAAACATCCACCAAGGTAGCTTTGCAACTGCATAATAATGGTCTTCAAATGGTAAACTTGGCGTATGAACATATCCAGTGCATTTATGACTTCGTCAGTGACGGTCTCAGCCATTCCAAGCATCTTCAGAGTGAGGAGAGTCTTTGGACGCTAAATCAAAAGTCTTCCACTAAGTTAATTTGGTCTTTCCGGCCAGCCTTCCAGGAGTGTAACATCCTGAAAGGGTCTGAAAACCTGGCAGTGGTTTTAATGGTCTGAGTGATAGGAAAACATCTCTGAAGGATATACAGCAATTCCGTTCCCCAGTAGCAAGCACAAAAACAGAATCTTGCAGAAGTCTTGGGTAGCATCTCACAGAGAGCACTAAAACATCTGTATCTTGTACAAAAATCCAGAGTTTAGTAGCACCTCTCTTTGTGGCATTGACAGCATGCAAGATAATTTTAGTGTCAGTCTCCTCATGGGAACTATGAAGAAACTCCACAGAACAGTGCAAGGCATCAGTTTTGTTACACAATGCAACAATGAAATTCTTTGAACAATTCCTTGCATGCTAGAGTGTTTTTTCTGCAAAGTATGCAATTAACTAATTCTTCATTTGAGTATGAGACAGTAGCTTCTTTAATGTGACATTGAAGATGTTTGTGGAGTCAGTGATTTTGTATTGGACAGGTGAAATAAGATAGAGTCTCTTCTTTCTGGTAATATTTTTAATTGATTCCTCTACATACATGTCAAATATGAGGTGGATTATGTTATTGATCCAATATATTCTCTGTAGCTTCATAATGAAATTAATCAGCCAAATCTCAGCAGAAGTTAACAGTTTCTGGTTTGTCGAGAACTTATATCTCAGCCATCTATGATTGCTACATTGAAAGGAGTCTGCTGGCATAAGATACCAGTCACATTGTCACTAGGTGCTGGCTTAGGAAGACCATGCTAGATGTTTATTAGTTTGCTTTAGTTTGCTTTTTACCTGGCACATATGCCTTGTTCCATCGCATTCAAACACAGATTGTTGTACTACGAAGAATTTATACTTTCCCAAAGTCTCACGTAGATCAACATCATGCAGAGATCTGGTCACAACCAGGAGATGAGCAAACAGTGACCTGTCTGTGGTTAGATCTGTAATAATCCCTGCTATATCCACTTTGATTTTCTTTTAATTCATTTATAGTTTTAGTCTGTTCTTGATTGGAGACCTTAGATTGACAGACCTCTGGATAATGCTTTGGGTTTTGAAGACTTCAAACAAGTCATGAACCAAAGTATCCATTCACCTCTCATCACTTGAACCTGTTTTGTCATGATATTAATGAGCTCTGGTCTGTTGTACTCAGATGTGTTGCCAATGCAAGTAAGCTCATCTTGTCACTTTAAAAATGTCCTCTTCTTGGCACTTAACAGAACCTAATGAGTCTTGATGGTGCTTGATTACTTCTGGGAAAGTCATTCCAGCAGTGCTTAATATTTCGTTCAAAATTCAATGGAGTTCTGGGGTTGTCAGGAAAAACTGGGCTTCCGTGTTATGCCCACCACCCCCAAATAACTTTCTTTGCTGGGTTTTCATGCTCTAGAGCTTCATCTGAACCAAATGCGCAGCAGGGAATTAGCAACCTTTAAACACTCCAATTTCCTTCTTGAAATTCCTCCCATGTGTCAGGGGCGGACTTCAGTACACCTCTTATTTCAGCAATTTACCAGGCAATCATTGGAGAATAGTTGGTTAGATCTAAAGCAAAAAAATATTTCACAAAGTCTTCCAGTCCTGTCAGATGCAAATTCCAATTAGCACTCCTGACAAATCAAATAAAGAGAGCAAAGACTCTCCCACAGCTAACACTTGTCCTGGCATCTTCAACTTTTCCTGGTGCTCAATGTCCTTCCTCTGCAACCTTGCCAAATTCAGTCTATGGGTGCAGTTCATGTAGCACGCAAGGTGTCACCAAGCCACATGTTCAGTCAGGTCCTCTACGGTGGTATTCTCCAAAGATTCAGATACTAGCTGGTATTCTTCGCTCCCCGTTAATGTCTAAAAATGATCAAGACCAAAGTAAAAACAAGAATTTTGTAATAAATTTCTTTGGATTGGGTAATGGGGTAGCACCCACCTCTCACGAGCATGCCCTGGTTGAGTGCGTGTGCCTGCACTCTTGGTTTGTGGTGACCTCTGTCGGTGGTTTCTCAAGCAGGTTTTCAACGACTCAGCCCTCCAGCCGAGTCTCTCACACAGTCTGTATGTGAAGCAACCAGACCCCTTCCGGTATATACAGACCAGCAGTACCCCTCTGTTGTTATCTCTGTAGCCCTCCCTGGGTTCAGTCTTTAAATAGTTCCAGCCCAGGTATGGGGCCGTACCCCCAATGCTTCATCCCTGGAGACATTGTCTTCCTGCAGCCCTCCCTGGGCTCAGTCCTTACTCAGTCCCAGCAGCCAGCCAAGAACCCCTTCGTCCCTGCCAGTAACTGATCTGTCCATGGTCCTACTGCTCCTTGAGCCAGCCAGGAACTCAGTCTTCACTCCTCCACTTCCAGGAGGACCCTGTGGCCTCCAGCAGGGAGCCTCTGGGCCTAGTACAACCTATCACAGTGATTGTATTAATTATGTTATGTAATGTATGTTATAGCGATGTGCATACTGTTTACAAAGGTATTCCATTAATTTCAGGCTGGATGCATAAATCTTAAGCAGTACCTCATTAGAACTCTTTTGGCATTATAAACAAAGCTGATAATCAATACCACTGAACCACTTCTTTCTTCCTGATAATGGCAAAATCAACTCGAAGCACTCCTTCCACGTATAGTAATCTGAAACATTAAAAAAATTAATCAGGTACCATGTTCTGAGCATGTTCTGATAATCAATGGCCACAATTTTACTTTCTGAGGGCTGCATGTTTGTTGTGTCTGTGTTTAAAGTACATATAATTTTAAAAAGCTGATTTTAAACATTTTTCTCAAATACATAGCTACATAATGGTTCTAGGTTTATATTGTTTGGTACCATAGTGTTTTTTTGGGAGAAAGGGCTTTTGAATGATACCCAATTTGACCCATTTTTGATGACACTGTATTATCAAAATGTCCACCAACCAGAGGACCTGGAGCTGCAAGCTGGGGGGAGGGGAGAAAGTGATTCCCCACCACACCGCAGAGGGTGACAGCATTGAAAATATTATTCTGTAGATTTTTACTAATCAAATGACCCCTCCCTTATCTTTCTATCATTAACTTGCCCATTGAATACACATGCTCCCTGACTAAAAAATGAGGGTGCTCTCAGTGTTGTCTGTTGGTGTGGCAGAGATATGCTTATAGCTGGGTGAAATAAATATTTAAATCTATATGCTATCTAAGTTGTTAATTTAAAGAGTGAACACAAGGTCTCAGAAAGATGGGCCAGGGAAAAGGCTTAAGACTCTAACAAGGCTGATTTGTGGTCTTGAATCCTAGGTTGAGGAAAATAAAAGTCCATATGGCATAAGTCATCATGCAGGATGAGTGAGCAGAGGAGGAAGTCATGCTTAGGGGACTGAGCCTGAGGTCCCCAATACCAAAAACAGAGGTTACGATAAACCTTACTCTGATAAGGTAAAACGTTTTCTACAAATAAACATAACCTAATTCAAGGTAAATTCTGTTTGTTTATTTCAAGGGAACATGATAAAGACCCTGAGAGTTTCTTTAAAGTATTGCTGAAACTTAAAGAGATGGACCTACCTTTTCATATGTCTGTCCTTGGAGAGACCTTCACTGATGTACCAGGTACCTTTTTGAATTATCTAATTCTTCAGGTGGCATAAGCCAGACAATTCTAGAAGTTATGATGCTGGTAAATTACATAGTAAAACAAAAAGATGCTGGTATGTTATCAAATCAAATAGTTATATTAAAAATACTTTGCTCTTTGATATTACTTGAGAGTATAAAGCCATTTATTTATGATATGTGTTCCATGTTATGCATCTATATGGATGTAAAATATATAGATGTAAGAGATTGGATAGTTCAGAGAATTATTAATGAGATACAGAGACGTCCAACTCTAGGTCACTGGTCTGAATTCTGCCCTGACCAAAAGTCATTACTATTTATTTGATGGCAGTTTGGCCTATATGAAATAAGTGCAATGAGTCTCAGTTCATTTCCTAGTGGACAGGTGTTAACATCATAAAGACTACCATCATAATTGGCCCTAATTGTTAGCATTATCAGCAGAAAGGACTAGACATGGATGACAATGGAATTAAACTATCTTCTCACCCTAAGAGTGGTCCCTTCAGGTTATGCTTAAGTCATATATTTACATACATACACAGAGAGAGAGAGACAGAGCATGTCAGATATTCAGCTGGTGTGAATTAATGTAACTATTGACTTCAGTGGAATTTTGTCAGTTTAGACCAGCTAAGGATCTGGTCTGTAATATTTCTGCACAGTCATTTGAAATGTCTGAAATACTGATATTGTTGTTTGTTATAATTGATGTGCCAACTATGTGCTTGGGCCGTAGAGGGAACTTTTGTTTATTTGAACAAACATACCCCGAGTTTATTGCAATTTATGTTAAGTTTTTTTTTCTATTTCTGTGTCAATTGCTCTACATACTGTTTAACCTCTGACCAAGTTTTTGTTCTCCACATCCTTAGCTAATAGAATTGTGACCTTGTGGGATGCGTCTTGATATTTGTTGAAATTCAACCCCATTGCCTACATGGTTTTACATTTTCTGCAATTGCCCTGCTGTAAGTCGTAATTGTTTTCTTCTTGGAGATTTCCAGGTAGAGGCACTAGACACTAATTTAGACTGAATCTAGGGATGACCATGACCATGTCTTTATACCAATTATATAGTACCATTGGTATAAAACTGGCATAAAGACTTGGGGCTATATTCAAAAAAGAATTTAGGCTCTTCAGGGCCACTTTAGATGCCCAAATTCCAGAATCAGGCCCCACTGGGATTCAGAAAGCCCCTGCTCAGCTCCCCCTGAATCCTGTTGGTGCCTAAACTCTCCTAACACCTAAATTTTTGCATTAAGAGTTCCCTAAGTGCCTATGTTTCTGCCTCTGCACATACACACTGCAGCCCCATGCCAGGCATCTGGATGCCTAAGTCCCAGAGTAATGCATGAACTGGGGGAAGATAGGAGTTTCTCCACGTAACTTGTCAGTGGGGCCCAATGCAGTAAGTGTGTTCAGACCTCACCTGCTGGACTGGGCTCCTACAGAGAAGCTCACACAACACCCAAAGATTAGTGTGCTCACTTGGGATATGGTAGACTCCTGGTTCAATTCCCCCCTTCACCTGAGGAGGAGAAGGGATTTGAACAGGGATCTGCCACCTCTATGGTGGGCACCCTAGCCACTGGGCTATGGGATAGTCTGACAGGGGACTCTCGCCATCTCTCCTGTTGAAGTTGTTCCACTGTGGGTAAATAATTTTAAAAGTAATTGGAGCAGAGGGAGTGGATCCTGGATCTTTTACCTCTCAGTTGAATGCTCTAACCAGCAGGCAACAGAGTCATTTTCATGCTTGCTCTCACTCTCTCTCTCTCTCTCTCTGACCCAACGATTCTTTCATTATTTATCCACAGTGGAGCAGCTTAAACATTGGCCGAGAGAGAGAGCAAGTGTGAGGATCCAGTCCCCCTGCTCCAATTACTTGTTGAAATTATTTAACCACAGTGGAACACTTCAACTGGAGAGACTGACTGTCAGACTATGCCAGATCCATCAGAGGGAGCCTGGACTTAGGCACCTATTTCTGAGAGAGGGGCAGGGCTTACCACTTACCTCTCAGCTTGGCATCTCTCATTGGTTATCATAGATGAGAAGATGCCTAGTGTACTGACTTTTGTGAATCCCATTCTAAGGCACCTGTCTCTCCCCGTTCATTGTATTGGGAGCCTACAAGTGCCAAAGTCAGGCTTTGTGAATCCCAGTGATTTTTTAGGTGCCTAAGTTTCCTTGTGAATGTAGCCCTTGAACAGAAATAGACTTCAAGCACTCAGTGTGATGATCCTAACCGGAGCGTATGTAATATGCTAGGTAAGTGGTTATGCCGCCAGTGGCTGGCCCGCTTGCAGGCTAAGAGGCTACTACTACCATCATCCTTAGAGGTAACAAAGATCATGGGTTCCATCTCCAATGATGAACTAAATTCCTTTAGTATCACAATTTCCTACTTTATACGCTTTGAGACAGAGGAAAAATATAATTGACACATTTTATAGAATACCTTACTAGATGCCCAAAAAGCCAAAATCCCACTATCGAGGAAGAAGGCCATACTAGTTAAAATAACAACTTGTTTAGAGGCAATGAGGAAGCAGCTATACAAAATTTAAATATATATTGTGATAGACCCAGGCCAGTTGGGTACAGCAGAGTAGTAGAAGGCAGATATACTGGCCACTGGATAAGCAGTTTTCTGTTCCCTGGCTGACCAGAGAGGGGGCTGCTCCAGGCTAGGGTGGACACATGTCTCCGATTAGCCTGCAATGAGTCAGGTGAGGCCTTTAGGCTTATGTGAACACCTGACTCTAATTAACCTGTGAAGAGTCAGGTGAGGTCGTTAAGCTAATGTGAACACCTGACTCTAATTAAGGCCCCTCTGATAATGTAAAAGAGCTCACTCTGGTCAGGCCAGGGGAAGGAAAAGGGAATCAGAGGAAAGGAAGTGAGGCTGAAGGGCTAGGTAATGAAGACACCCTCAAGCCACTGGAAGGGAGCCCTAAGGTAAGGGTGAAGAAGGCATTAAGAGAGAGAATGGGGAGAACTGTGGGGAAGTGACCCAGGGAAGTGTAGCTCTCTCTATATATAAATTTTGTATAGCTGCTTCCTCGTTGCCTCTAAACCAGGTTGTTTATATATAACAAATGGAAGAAAGGGGAAGTCGATAGGAATGAATATAAATCAGAAGATAGGAATTGAAGAGAATTGATAAGGGAAGCAAAGAGACACAAGGAGAAATCTATGGCCAACAGAGTTAAAGCTAATAAGAAGAAGTTTTTAAAATATGTCAAATACAAAAAGAATCCTGACAATGGTATTGGTCCATTAGTAGATGGAAATAGTAGAATTATCAATAATAATGCAGAAGAGACAGAGGATTTCAATAAATATTTCTGTTCTGTATTTGGGAAAAAAACAGATGACACAGTCTGAATATATGGTGATAACATTCTTTCCCTACCGTGAGTATCTCTTAGGCATATTAAACAGAAGCTACTGGATAATTATAAACTTGTCATCCTGACATTGATCCCAGGCAAGATAATGGAGCAGCTGATATGGGACCATAGGTGCTAGAACTAGACATGCTGGGGGTGCTGCTCTGGCTTGAAGTGGTTTCCATCATATACAGGGTTTATAGTTTGGTTCAATGGTTCTCAGCACCCCCATTAGACAAATTGTTCCAGCACCTCTGTACAGGACTTGATTAATAAAGAATTAAAGGAGGGTAATGTAATTGATGCAAGCCAACAAGAGTTTATGGAGAGTAGATCCTAACTTGCAATCTTTTTTTTGGTAAGATTACAAGTTAGTAAGTGTAATAGTAATAAAAGTAATAGTGTTGACATAATATACTTAGACTTCTGTAAGGCATTTGACTTGGTACCACATGACATTTTGATTAAAAAACTAGAAAAATGTAAGATGAACTTGACACACATTAAATGGATTAAAAACTAGCTAACTGATAGGTCTCAAAATGTAACTGTAAATGAGGAATTGTCATCAAGCATGTGTGTTTGCAGTGGAATTCCTCGGGGATTGCTTCTTGGCCTTAGACTATTTAACATTTTTATCAGTGATCTGGAAGAAAACATAAAATAATCACTGATAAAGTTTGCAGATAACATGAAAATTTGGGTAGTGGTAAATAATGAAGAGGACAGGTCACTGATTCAGAGCAGTCTGGATCACTTGATAAAATGGGCACAAGTAAACAATATGTGCTTTAATATAGATAAATATAAGTGTATACAACTAGGAACAAAGAAAGTAGGCCATATTTACAGGATAGGGGACTTTATACTGGGAAGCAGTTATTCTGAAAAAGATTGTGGTGGATAATTAGCTGAACGTGAGCTCCCAGTATGATGCTATGGCCAAAGAGCTAAGGTGATCCTGGGATGCATACACAGGGAAATCTCAAGTAGGAGTAGAGGTTATTTTATCTTCATATTTGGTACTGGTGGCTGGAATACTGTGTCCAGTTCTGGTGCCCACAATTCAAGAAGGATGTTGATAAACATCGGTTTATCATCAACATCGGGGCCAGTTTTGTTTAATATCTTTATTAATGATCTGGAGGATGGTGTGGACTGCACTCTCAGCAAGTTTGCAGAGGACACTAA